TCCACAGAGCTGCCCATCAAACACTTACTCTTTAGATACACGTCATTCATTGCCACCTTTTTCAATCTGTCACATTCACACCCAAAATATCTTTGTCATATCGCTACCAAATTTTGACAAGGCCTTCAGCGTGAAATTTGCAGTCACATCACTGGATGGAGGTATTTGCTGGATGAGCAAATGTTTACTTTTTACAGCAAATATTTGTTTTCTCTTTCCAAAGTAATATTTTAATATCTGAATGAGACGTTTTTGATCCCAGTATCTGATGCTACATCCTAGATGCTTATCCTAGATTATCTTTATTATTTTGATGATGTCATGTCGTCAGACTAGAGTAGCACTGCTAGAGAAGCCCAACAGACATAAATAAAGTTTAGTTTAAATCTATCTAGATGTTAATATATAAATGCCAAGGCAGTCTTGATAAAAACACATTAAGTGTTTTATCAAACAACAAGAAGAGAAAGTGAGAGAGAGGCAGAGAAGAGAGAGACAAACAAAGCAGGAGATAAAAGAGAGAAACTGTACACAGCGAAGCTTTGGAGCCGACAGGAGCTACAATAGACGCATCAATGTGCACTTGGTAATGACAATGACAGCAAACACGTGAGAAGCACATCTGTAATGTTTGTCCTTCGGCTCAGTCCGTAAAGATGCAGGGAAGTAAAAGTTGCATCTGGTCACATTTGGCTCATCCATGCGAGTCACGTGCTCATTCACACTGGTGTCACTTTTCAACACATCGGGCTGCACGCCATCCAGGAGCGATGCGTCTCCCGCGGATTTTGATCAGATGATCCAAACTTGTTGCTTTCAGTAAGTTCCTTTGTTTTCAGAAAATTACAAAAGGAGGTGAAAACCCACGTCTCAGTAGCCCTCGACTGCTTTGTGCTTCTGAACTGAGGTTTAGAGAGTTTCAGTTTTCCTTGAAAAAACATGATTTGAGCAAACACACAAAACAAATTTGTGAGGACTATTTTCAGCCACCATTGTCCATGTGGTGGACGGTAGCAGGACAGGGGACTGTTATGTGACATGTTAAAAGGAATGTTTGTGTCCTGTGTCACGCTTAAAGGGGACCTGTTCTGTTCACTTAGAGAGTAGCTTTAATTACAGTTACAAGTTAAAATACATTACCCTACTGGATACACTCAAGCTCGTTTAGCCCCGCCCCCTTTAAATGGTGGGTGGAGCTTCTGTGGTCACAGCCAGGTGACCATGTTTGGGATGCACACGTTCAAACGTATTAATAACTGAATTATTGGCAGCTTCTAAAAACAAAACACTGAAAAGTATAATATTGTATTATTGTTGTACCTTGATTTGGTGCTACATAAATAAAACTGAAGTGAAACATAAGAGAAGGATATTAATGAATCTGGTTAAGCTCATTTCAGCTTCACTTAACATGCTTGAATAAATAATTACAGACGTATACGTGTGTGTGATGTCTCCTGGAACAGCGTCCAGTCAGAGGGAAAACATTCAGGCTCACAGGGATTTCTCTTTATTTGACTTCATTATTTGAATGTTTAATATGAACATCCACCTCTGTAACAGGACACAAGACTAAATATAAAATTGGAAACTCCACTATAGATTCCCTTTAAGTGACGGCAATATTTAGAGATATCTGATGACTTTGCTGATGCATTTGCTTGTTTGTTTGTTTTTAAAATTATGTACATAAACAAAAATCAGGTGTTATTCTCATTTGTTGAAATTTGACCTCCAATTTTCAGGATAAATAGTTAATTTCTTTATTCAGCCTTAAGAATGTTAGAAGTTATTTATCTTCATTCTCCGCCCACTGCTCCATTCTGATGACATCATCACGGATGTTGGTGACAGTGCTCAACGAGAGCGGCACGACAAAGCTAGCTTACAACAAGCTGTACAGCTGACCTGTGGTTGTTGACGTGTTGCTTAGTGAGCATTTCTCTTCAGATTTAGCGAGCACTACGTGAAAGAGCAACGTGTGCAACGACTCGCGGAGCCAAACTTTGTACCACAAAGAATAATGACAGCGTGCTTTAAACCGAGGCAGTCGAGCATCCACTGCATCGCAGCCCTGAGTTTGCAGCATCATCTGTGGCACTTCCTTTGTTCTGTTCCACGCTGGGTTAGGGTCTCACACAGTCAGAGTGACAGTGAGAGTTAAAAACAGTCAAATGTTTTAATGTTGTGCAGCTGTTTAAGATCATTTGTTATTGGTCCACTGATGTGGGCGTCGACAATCACTCCTCCAGCCTTACCTTTACGTCTGTCACACCACCTGCACACACGCACACACACACTTAGTGTTCCAATTGAGATAGTTATGTGTACTCACTCTGTATAGTATATTTATGTTGTGAAGTGAATATCTGCTGCAAGATAAAGATACATTTCAGCACAAAAACGTTCTCTGCTTTATGTTGAGGTCAAATTGCTACTACTGTGGAGCTGATTCTCTTGTTTTCACTTTCTTGGTTCACTCTTCTTTCCTGTGAGTTGAGCGTCTGTCCTGTCTTAAACTGAAGTGCTTTTCTCCTCAAAGAGAGAGTGACCACAATCTTTTTTTGTTTTTTAAATATATTTTATTGTAACAGCATCAAACCAATAAAAAAAATCAATGAAGTAAAGCTCGATTGGTGTGTTGGCTGTTTTTACACAACATTCATCAGCTTTGCACTAAAGGCACAGAGCCTTGTCTCACTGTGGAAATATTCCCGTCAGTCATGTTATGTTGTACAACACGAGTGACATCCTGACAGGAATGTCGGTGGTTTGAAATATACAACAGTTATACTGACAGTTCTTCCAAAGGGTAGCATGTCTTTTAAAGATGTTTTTATTTATGCATTTAAAAAATATTTTTAACCTCCCAACATCTACCAGCTGATCAGTGACCTGTCTAGGGTTTGTTTGTTAGCCACATGCTAAACAGGCAGACTAGACAAACAACATGTTTCTGTCTAAAGCTTCTGTTGGCGTTTCAAATAAAATTCTATTTAAAGGTGTAGATGTTAATTTAATCACAGACAGGTCGCCAATGATCTGGTGGATATTAAGCGATTAAGGATGCCAGAACAGAAACTGTCTTCCTCTACTGTCCAACTACATAATCTCTAAATATGCACGATTTATAAAAACATGTCAAATTCTTACTTTGATATCTGAACAGTATTTTGATCATTTCCCCTCCACATACTGAGACCGTTGTTGCTGTAGAACAAATTACACGAGCACACAGTTACTGTGGCAAATAACACGAGCCAGATACATCCGATTTCAGACACGAACATACTCATTGCTCCACTTGTTTGTTGAGATCTGGTCAGTACAAATCTGTGTTTTACACTCCACATGTCGAACTGTACGTCTACAGTCTTACTTTATGAACATTAAACCCACATTAATAATCTGAGTGGTCCGCTGAATCTGTTCCTTTTTCTCATCTCTAATGCTAAGCCTGATTCGGAGCTATTTCCACTGAACTTGTGGGCAGGAGGAAGCAGAATGAAGCCTGGCATTTACTGTGCATGAGATTTAAATGAATGAGAGAGCAACATGTCTAAATGTGTCTAAATGGGAAATATGATTAGATAAGCATCCCATATACAAAGACACTTGCACATGGTTGTATTAGAAATTCATTATGGCAGCAGCTTCCAGTTGTTCCTGTTGTTTCCTGAATATGATGCAGAATTCCCTGGAACAGTTTTGGAACTGGAACTGAAGTTTTAATCGTCGGTCCTGAGGCTCAGAGAGAGAAACTCTTGTCTAAATTAGAGGCATTTTCACTATGTCCTTCGCTACAAGTGAAAAACCTGGGTGTTATTTTTGACTCTGAGCTTGGTTTTATCCCACATGTTAAACATGTAACCAAAATTGTATTTTATCATCTAAAAAATATAGCCAGAGTCGCCCTATTCTCTCTCGGGCCAACACAGAGATGCTGATGCATGCTTTTATTACCAGTCGCATTGATTACTGTAAGGCCCTGCTCTCTGGTCTTCCTAAGAAGAATATTTCAACTTTACAACTTTTGCACAACTCGGCAGCTCGTGTGCTGACGAAGACCAGAGGGCGGGCCCACATTACACCGGTTTTAGAATCGCTGCACTGGCTCCCCGTGTGTTTCAGGATCGATTTTAAAGTTCTTTTATTGGTTTTTAAATGTCTTAATGATCTCGGGCCTTCTTATCTCTCAGATCTGCTTTTACCATACGAACCCTCGCGGACCCTGAGGTCCTCTGGTACTGGCCTTTTGATTGTCCCTAAAGTCAGGACACATACTCACGGAGAGGCAGCTTTTCAGTGGTATGGTCCTCGTCTGTGGAACAGCCTGCCGGAGGAGCTCAGGGCCGCAGAGAACGTAGATGTTTTAAAGAACAGGCTCAAGACCACCTTTTTAATTTAGCTTTTACTTAGCGTTTATTTATTTTATGCTTATTTATTCTATCCTGTTATTCTATTATTAATTTAGGCTTTACCTAATATTTCTTGATTTTATTCTTATTCATTTTTTAACCTTCTTACTCTATTTATATTTATATTTATATTTATATTGTATCCTGTTCTTATTTATTTTATCATTTTACCCTGTATACATCGTATTGCATCATATCTCCAGTGTTTCCTCGGAGGGCGCTCTCTGCACCGGGGCTGTGATTGACCGTGGCTGCTGGGTCTCTGGGGTCCTCTCAGCCTGGTTGGGGGGCTCCTTTGCCTCCCTCCGGCTGTGTGCCCAGCCCGGAGGCTGCGGTCTGTGACCGGCTCCCGGTGCAGACGGCTCTCTGTTATAATGTTTCCTCACTTGGCTCATGCGAGTCCAGCCCAATTTTTACTCTTTAAGTGTGCGCGTGTGTGTATGTGTGTGTGGGTGGGGGTGGGGGGATATATGTGTATTGAGAGTGTGGGGAGTGAGTTGGAGGGTGGGGTGGGCTGCTTTTAACTATGTAAAGCACTTTGTGCTACATTTTTTCTGTATGAAAAGTGCTTTATAAATAAAGATTGATTGATTGATTGAACAGTTTTCAGGGAGGTACTTTAGATCTGCAATCACAGAAACCTGGAAAAAGCTCTAACTGACTGACAACAGGAGCACCGCCGAACACCTCCGAGCTGATGTTATTTGGGTGAAGGTTACTGTGACAAAATATTTCTACAGACATTTGAACAAGTGGCCACAAACTCAAAGGTCTCCCGAGACAAAAACGAAACATCACTAATTTGTGTCGGATTATATGCACCTGTATATAAAAGATGGACACGCTTCCTCGTGTTTTCTGGACTCAGTATTTTGCAGCCTGAATGTTTTGGGTGGGATCGTTCTGGTGTTCTGTGCAGGCCCGATCCACAGATATGCGCTAATTAGTGCTTAGCTGAAGACAGACTAATAAATGCGACCAAAATGGAGCACACTGCCCCACGCAGTATTTGTCAGATAACGCTGATGGGGGAGGAGTTAGCACACACCTGTTGGTTACAGGTGCCTGTCAGGAAAAGCAGCATCAGGCTGTAAACATGCTTTTTAATGCTGTCGAGTTTACAGGGACTGATTTGGATTTGGCATCGCACTTGTGCCCTTTTCTCTAATTAACAAAAGATGGAATGATAGAATCTATCGCTGCGCTGCGGGTCACCTGTGGGACATTGGATTTGCTCACAGTTAAGTGTGAGGTCGTAAAACCTGCTTCTGATTTTGCACTTTGAACTGAAAAACATGGGCACATTGTTCTAGAGCAACAACAGTGAACAGAGCACATTTTTGTGTGTGGACTGGTGTCCTGGGATTTAAAAGCCTCTTCAGTCCAACATTTGCCAGACATCAAATGAGTAAACTATCAGATGGATTCTGATGAGATCTGAGAAGAGGACAGTGACGGCATCGGGGCTTCATCTTCATCCATTTTTCAGCGTCATGACGATGATGAAGATGCGTGTGTAGATACTGAGTATAGGTTCCACTCCATTTGTAGTTCAACAACCTGCGTTGAAATAGCAAAGTGAAAGGCATTAGCTATGACTCCCGGCTCCGTCTGACATTTAATGTTGTCTGCGTTACGGGAGTGAGAGCATGTTTGTGTACAAAAGAGAAGAGAGGGACCGAGAGGAATGAAAGGCTGAGCGAGAGAGAGCAGGTGCTGGAGTGGTTAATGGCTGACAGCATGAATGGCCAGCGCTGAATTTTTCTGATTAAGGGAATGAACTTCTGCTTTGTCTCTGCTGTCAACAATGAACGCCCGCAGCACTCCAAACCGTCCTCCTAGGCGCCTAAACATTTAATGAATCTATTCCAAACTTCCTTCTCTCTACCGGCGGCCAATTTGGAGCCATTGAAGACAACCTAGCCCTCTGGAAATATGGGGACCATCTGTTGTGTGTGTCTGCACATTCATCTTTATGAAAGACAGCTATGCGGCCTAATGCTACACGCTAAGCAGGAAATAGAGACAATGGGAGAAAAGGTAACCTGCCCCTCCTTAATTTTTGCACCTCAGCTCTCTCTATTAAATGTGGATTTTCTTCACATCATTGGAAGGAATCTCATCATCCTAAGTGAAAAATTACAGCTACTATGTTTTCTTCTGCTCTTTGTGCAACAAGCATTGAAATTACTCTAAAAACAGCATTCCACATTCTAACAGCATTATAGAGCTCTTATACTATTAAAAGATAATATCAACAAAAGCCCACTGAAGTATATGAGTCACTTCATTCAGCCAACTCAAATGTCAAATGAGGAATTTGAATGAGCATAATTGCAGATGCTTATTTCTATTTTGTTCTCAAGGCTTTTTTGAATACGCCATGTAGTGTAGTTTGAAGGCAGATAAAGAAGAAACAGGTAGGACTCGAAGCACTCCTAACACTGGAATCTGTGAAGGCACAGAGGCCACAGATGGATATTAAAACGGTAGAGGCAGCCAACAGCACGCAGTCATTTTCAGAAACCTATAGGTGATGGCATTGACCAAACTCATCTCACAAAGAGTGAATAAACGCAGCTCTGCCATCAGAGGTTCTCTGATCAGAACGATCACAGAAGTATGGAGCACCCACCATCAGGCCAGGGTTAAGGTTTCATGTGCACATAGAAACAAAGGTTTAATTACACACTCTTTCTACACGTCCGGTCAGTGTAATGGTCGGCAGACTTGTACCGGCCGCTCAAGCTGCTTTAACTTTACACACCAATTACAGTTTGGGCTTCAGTATCTTGCCCAAGGACACTTAAAACTGCACACTGGAGGAACAAGGGGCAGGTTGTCCCCACATCAGGTAGTGCAGGGACAACCTGAACCAACTGATGAGCCACAGCTGTCCATAATTCTAAGCCACAAGGACAGTTGTTGGCTACTATACAACAACTGGATATTAAGTGGTCAACAATGCGATTTACTTCTCTGGTACTGAGAATGATGAGCTGACAGGATTTCACAGATTTCATTTATTTTATGACCCCCTGAAATCCTGTGATTGTCTGATTTTTGCACACTGTGATACATCCAGTTTGCCCGTCTGAAATGGAGAGCACCAAGTAAGGCTTGTGAGCGAGTCCAGCAACAGACTTCAAATCAACGCAAAAATATTCATATTTTCAACAACTGCTGTTTGTTGTTTTTTTCAGAGAGGGTGTCTCTGTGTGAAGAAGAGCTCCTGCTGCTGTTTACTGTGCAGTTCAGTCACTGCTGCTCACATCAGACCAAAACAACTCGTGGCCTTTAATTCAGTCGTTCCACTTCACTGTTCACCGGCTGCCCTGCATTGCTGTGTTTGCTGTCAGTTTGTAATTCTTTATTGCTGCTTTCAGCTCGGTGCCACTATTTCAGCTCATCATGTTGGATACTTTCTTCTTTTCCTCACAAGTTCTCTTCACATCATTTTCTCTGTTCTGCTGTTGAACTTGTGGTGTGAACGTAAAGCAACAAATTCCCAACCAACTCAAACACAGTATCGGGGGATTTTAGCTCTGTACCTGATGGCTTGAACCCCGTCAGCTGTACCACCTGTTAACGACAAAAACACGATACATTCTTAGTCAGCAGATGTAATAGAAAACATTATGTATTGATAACGCATACACATGACTTACTTGGTTTCCGGATCCTGGGTTCAAAAAGAAACTCACAAAGCTCTCCTTTCTGAAACTCTCTGCAAGCACAAAATACACCTAATTGCATTTAAACTCTGCATTTGTCTTTGAGGACACACACAGTTGCTTATGCAAGGCCAAAGTAGTCTTATAAGCACATCACAGTACAAAGGAAGCTTTATAAAACACGGAGAGAATGAAAAATGCAAACAATTTGAATGACAAAAGAGCATTATGAGAATTTTCATGGAGAACTTTTTTCTTTTGTTTCTGCCTCTGTTTATTAACAATGAAGCGTTTAATCACTGCTTATGTCAGCAGGACAGATGGGATCAACTCATCTATGAAAAGAGCCGAGTCTGAAGCACACTATTAAAACGTATCATTCATTCAATCATCACGGCCAGGGGTCGGCAACCTTTCTGATGAGGAGTGCATCTAAAATTCCCTCAGAAGTCACTGTGCCATATGATTGTATTAGCAATAAATTTAATAACGCTCTATACTAACAGTTACACACTATATAGAACCACTTTATAGAATTATATATGTTCGCAGATGTTGGCAGCTGTCAGCGAATAGTTATCAGCTATTTTGAAACAAAAAAAGACTTTTTATCCATAACAGCAAATGAACTGTACAACAGAAAATGCAAATGCTATTTATGGTCTCCTCACAACAATGACAAGAAAAATAAACTGGGCCAATATGGCATGTTTGTTAATACAGAGACACACATGTTAATGTGATCTCTGGTCTCCCAGTGTCCAGCATTCAGACGGATACCTGAGGACTCGTGTGAGAGAAAATCTGCTCACACAGACATGTAGAGCCAAACACTGTCAGTAAGGCCTCTGCAATGTTCTGAAGACAGTTAAACCTGTCAGGTAGTGATGTCCAGCAGGTGAACATGCAGCTCCATGAACACGCACAGCTGTGGATTCCAGCTGTGCTCGTAGTTCTGCAAACTTTGACCCCACAGAGTCGAGCTTTTCAATCAGCTGCATTTCGATGTCCTCTGTGACCAACCAGTTAACGAGAGACAAATCCAGCTGCTCATTAAAGCTTCTGGTTTGAATGGTTTGAATCTGGTAGTTGGGGTTGTTAGCTAACATACTGTCATTAAGAAGCAGCACAACTAATGTGTCTATGCGAGCTAATTTGCGATGTGCAAAGTGACAAACAAACAAGAGAGTAAAGCCGATCAGCTGATCATTGATCAGTTTCATGATTGAAGTAGCAACAGTAGAGGGAGGGGGATATGGAGGACCACAAGAGCCACGAAATAAAGAATTCTGTGCTTAAATAATGAATTGTACAATTCTGCATTTGTAAATTCATTTTTGAATTCCAATTTAATAAACTTCATTTCAAAAACCATTTTCGAATTGCACTTTAATATTAAGTGATTTTCAAAATGCTTCAATTTCCCTTTCCTGTTTGCTCAGGGATAAATTTTTGGATTAGCAGTTGGATTAGCAACTTCATTTTAAAAATCCTGCTGCTATTCAAATTAGCCACACCGTGGGATGTAAGGAGCTCTCTGATTGGTTGGTCAGACACAGGCTGTCTGCCTGGACTTTTCTAGCTCATAGCTTCGCCCTGCTAAGAAGCGTGAGTGCTTGTACAAAGGCCGTTCAGCCTCAGGATTTACACTCGGCTCGACACGGATATGTGAAGAATGAAGGGACCCTGCAGCGAAACGGAGAGCCCAACCTCTGACTGAGTGCCTGTTTATGCAGTCTGACCACCTGTGAAGGTAACGTGCTAACATGGCTAACGCTAGCATCACCGCACGTAGCCCCGTTATTTTAAGGTCATCTTAGCTTAGCTTCTTCACAAATAAAGCTGGAAGCAGCTCAGACTGTTAGAACCAGCACTGAGGCCTGTTACATTCATACAGTGTTAGCGACGGCTGCAGCCTACAGCCTTTAAACTAGCGATTAAAATGCTGACAGTAAACTCGTCAGTCGAGATGTTACCACATTACTTTGTGATACTTAAGAGTTAAAACAACTGATTAAAACTGGAGATCACACTACTGGTTTCAGTTCATTTAATATGTGAGTGCACTGATTCATTCAACTGGACATAAACGATGATCAAAGGTTGTATATATGATGAATTCATCAAATCCCAGCCTCTAACACAGTGCGCTGAATCTTAGCTTTGAATGTCCAGTATATTCTAATCAGTGCAATGTAAGCATTCACTGAACCCACAGTATCTACACCTGTGTGGCAAATGTGTGGTAAAGACACAGATAATGAAATTTAATTATTAATACAATGTACATCATGAAAAACAAAAGCTGAAATTGATTCAGCTCAGTACTTTTCTCTGTATGCTCTGATTATAAAGGCCTTAAATTCTGTGATATATACTGTAAATGATTTTCACAGAGGTCTTAAAGTAGTTAAATCACTGCTGATAGTCTGGTTGTTCATATTTTCACGTTTTTGTGTCTGTAGGGCTGTTTGATGACGATGTGGACTCCTCTGGGACATGAGGACACACCCACATCTGTTCCATACTGCAGCCATTGATGCTGTTACGGCTGTGAGTCAGCTTTGGGGCCTCAGATGCACACACTGGAAAACCAGCACCTGGACTTCATGCAGGAGAGACTGCATGAAGTTTTTATCTGATGTAAAATGTATAGAAATCATACATATACCAACAAGACTGTACATCACTGTCACCACAGTGTTTGTTTTCATTCAAAGGCTTTATGGCTTTAATACCTGGGGGGCCGGTCTCTAGGCCGATGTTCTGTCCCAGTCCAGCCCTGCGCACGACACGCAGTGAGTTAATCTGAGAAGGTGCATTCAAAAATAAATGGCTGTGCCAGCGCTGCACATCGCAAATCAGCTCGCATAGACACATTAGTTGTGCCGCTTCTTAATGACGGTATCTTAGCTAACAACCCCAACTACCAGATTCAACTTGTAATCGGCTAAAAATAACTTCGCCTACCAGTGAGACGGACGTTGTTAGCTGGCAGTTTTTTTCAAGCGATGTTGAAATTTCCACATTCAGACACTTCAAAAGCTTCAGCAGCTGTTCGCTCAGCGCAGCATCAGCACCGCGGAAATACACGGATACATCCGTAGACTCAGGACAGATAAAACCAGAAAGCTTTAATGAGCAGCTGGATTTGTCTCGCATTAACTGGCTGGACACAGAGGACATGCGCGTGGCTCTTGTGGTCCTCCATAGGGGGAGAGAATGAGAGGAGAAGAAACAGCTGTGCAGCAAAGACACAGAATAAATCCAGCTTTGCGTCTTTTTTCATTCTAGCTGAAGTCCGGGACAAACTGTGTTCCTTCTCAGCTCAACACGAGACGCGTAATATTTTCTCTGAATACGAGACAGGTTGGCAACTCTACTAACTAACCTTATGAATAAAATAAAGTTCACTATCAGTAACATCATAGCACCACCCAGCTGTATAGAAACTCCGTCATGCTAGCTAGCACGCAGTACTAGCACAACGAAAATAAACTACACCTAAACTTGGTTTATATCTGACCCAGAGAGACTGCAGCTCATAACTTCTCACCTGAAGTTCAGTTCACCTGATACTCGGACCGGCGGCCGCCCCGGGTCTCTCCTCGTCCTGCCTCCCCTTCCCTCATCCACCTGCTGGCCTCTGTGGAAGCTCCGCCACAGCCACCACCAAATAACTGAGTTATTTTTCACATCGGCCAGCATCTGCCCAATCCACCACCTTTTGTTTATACCGTTACAAAACAAAAAAAAATCATCGGCCCATAAAAAGCGAAAAATCACGGCCAGTCCAACTATGGTCGTGCCATCAGTTACCCTTCGCGTGCCCAGGGTTGCCGACCCCTGATCATGGCTAATGACTTCTGAGGGAAGTCTTGTTCAGAGATGACGACCTTTCAGTGACCTGAAATATGGAGAATAGATTTTTCTTGTTTTTAATGACCTGCTGAAGGTTGGTCCAGCATCCCTGTCAGGACTGTTTGAAAATGTTGTTTTAGATGATTTACATCACAAACATTACAGAACATATTCTTTGGCACTGATATAGTGATGCAGCTGTCACAGCAATGTGAGCAGTTGTCTTTTAACCCAACATGTTCATAAATGATGCTGACTCAGTGCATAAATACGCTGCTGAGGTGTCCTTCACAAACATCGACGTAACAATCTGGGCAAGAGACTCAGCGTTTCACATCACAGACAGCTCGCCATCTCTAATAAAATATTTGAAGCAAACATGCTTTTTTCTTGACCTTAACTCAAGTTAGTTTTTATTTATATAGCTCAATTTCCAAACAACAATCATCATAGCAGGGAGGAAGAAGTCCTTTTCACAGGAAGAGGCCTCCACTGAACCAAGCACATAAGGAAGTTATCATGCTTCTACAGGTTGATGGTCCCCTGATTTAGCCCTAACAGGGGACCATGTTAGGGCTAAATCAGCTAACCCAATCCCCTGAGCCACGGGCGACCATGGCTCAGGGGATTGGGTTAGCTGACCAGAGGGGCCGATGGCGTGATATGGCAGCCTCGCCTCTGTCAGTCTGTCCCAGGGCAGCTCTGGCTACAACTGTAGCTGCCTCCACCAGTGTGTGAATGTGAGAGTGAATGAACAGTGGTATTGTGAAGCACTTTGGGTGCCTAGAAAAGCGCTATATAAATGCAATCATTATCATTATGACAATAAGTTCTATGATAACAAACTCACTCATATTCACGCCTGGATGAGTTTTCCAGAATCATTTTGATATGAAATGTTTCTAAATGTCACAGTGTTGTTACTGAGTTTGTGCCTTCGTCCAAATACTGAACTAAGTCACCTAACTAACCTTCTAGTTTGCTTAATGTGTGCATTAAAGTACATATCTAGGTTATAAATCAGACTCCATGGTTCTCACTATTCTAGAGGTGAAAAATAACTCGTGCAGGACTTTTTGTCTTCAAAACGTGCCTTTAGTTTAACTGAAGGATTTGCAGATAAATATAACTGCACCACAATAAATCTTCATTCAATGTTTTCTTATGATAATATTCACAATGGCCAAAAGTCAGTTGATGATGGCTGCATCACATCCACAGCATCTGATAAGTCTGAAGGATGGCTGATTTATTATAGTTCCCACAATAACAGATTTTGTAACTCACAAAGACTCATAACACTGAAGCTGGATCAAGGTGATGTTTTCTTGCTGTCTCCAGAGGAGGCAGCCGCTGTGTAGTGTTCACAGAAACATCATTCAGCTACACTGCAGTGGGATTGCTTCATCAGATAGGGTCATAATCAGATTCATTTTGTGTTTTGCATTGGGTGATAAACCTGTTGAGTCATAAATGTATAAAGTGTGATCAAACATTATCATAAAAAAACTTTTTAATCAGCCAAAGCCCAACAATAAGACGATTATGGTGATTGTGAGGCAAATATACAGGCGGGTCTATACGCATTTAGATAACCAGGGCTACAGAACCTGAAAACAGTAGATGCTAATAATCACTGTCTGTTTCATGGAGTTTGCAAAAAAATTTTTTGAGATTGCTCCGCCCACCTCACCCACCTCTTTATTCAGTTTTGTTCTCAGTGTTGGGGTGAGAGCAGGCTGGGCAGTTTGCTCTGGGTCATTACTTATTGCACTGTACATCTGACCAGTGCTGCAGCGTTTGGCTGAATCTGAGCCTTCTTCTAACAGCAGACACATAATCAATAAACTCCAATCAGTGTTCTTAACAAAATGTGTGATATTTGAGTGAGGAGCACATCACGTCAGCTCACCGTTCTTGATGACCATGGATGTGGAAGTAGTGCCGGCAGGTACAGACGTCTCACTGGTCTCAGGGCTGGAGGTCGTCGGTAGGCTGTGGCCCCAGGAAGTGATCGGGGTCCTCTGAGAAGGTAGGAAGCTGGTTGGCTGGGAGCAGTTCTGCCAAAACATCACAATCCAGTCCATATTTCAGTCCACTTTTCTGAAGAGGGAATTTATTTTCTGTCCCGATGGATCCTTCTGCCCACTCACCGTGAAAGATAAGGCCTTTCTCTTTTCTTTGATCCTCTTTATGGCATTCCTCACCTAAATGAGAAGCAGTCTTTACACCCACTGATTTGTCCAAAAGGCTTGCAGCCTCACATAATGCACAAGGATGTGCTCTGATTTTGCAGGACAAAAGCTGGACTGAATGCATTTACCTCACTGTTGTAAACAGCATAGACTAAGAAGATGTACAGACCCTGTGGAGAGAAGAGAGGTGCACTAAGAAGCACGTATGAAGACAGAAAAGAATCATCTCCATTCATACTGACTATATGGATTTCACTGCTCTGTTTTGTAACCTCGCTCAAACAAAGCTTTCATACTGTGGTACCGTCATTCGATGTGGTTTTCTACTCCTGACAAGAGCTGCAGTTAGAGTCAGCAAATTTCAGCTTCAGCTCAACTGAACGCAATACTACAAATTTTAGAGCTGCATTTCATGGCTCCCCAAAAAGCTGATTCTGTTCATGTGGACGTAGAAACGATTCATCACTCATCCAAGTGACTTCTTCAGTCTCAGCTGCAGGTTTCCTCAACCTGATAATCAGAGCACTGTTCATTGATCAGTGCCCATGAGTAGAATAGAATAGAATTCAACTTTATTGCACATGCACAGGTACAGGGCAACGAAATGCAGTTTGCATCCATCCAGAAGTGCTTTAGTGATATAGATATATTACAATATATAGTAGCAATAATATAGATATGTGAGTATATTACAGAAATGGGTCTATTATGGTATGTTACAATGTACACGGTATGAAGTATGTTGTGAATATTCTATAACTATAAGTATGTACAGGCTGTAGTGAGTACAAGCTATGTACAGGCTATGAACAGGATATAAATATGAAAGACTATACAGAATATGAAATAAATAACTTTACAGAATCTGAGATATACAGAGTACCATTCACAGAGAGTTGGAAAGTAATCAGATGTTGTGCTAATAATGTAACAATAGGGTAAAATATAATAATTACATGTAAAATACTTAAGGCTGTATAGAAATACTTACTGAGATGTGTGACCACTAACCATGTCATATATTAACTTGTCCAAGTGACCCCAGTCACATAGCCCTAGATTGTCAGTGACAGCTGGTCACCACCTGTGTATTACCCAGCTGGCACAACCCTTTTTGTGATTGCTTTGGTTGCTCCAATAGTGCTGCAATTGTCGTTTGAATGGAAGTGATGGACTCTACAAACACTGTCCAGGTTCTCTCAGTCGTAGTGAAACTTTGAAAAATGTGACACAAACTGGAAATGGAGATTAATCGCCTTCAAAGTAAAAGCTGTATCTTCTGAAAAATGGCTGCAAAGGCAAAGCTTCTCCATCTCCAGTCTGTGTCACACTTTTTCAGTTGCATTGCTGCTCAGCTAGTGTTGCAGACAAACGTGCATCTATGGGGAATGAGCCAGCAATCAGAACAATACCTATGAAGGTTTTTACTGCAGCAGCTTGCACCGGCTTTCACCCAGCAAAGACAGCACCCTCCAGAAACCACTGCCAAGCAGTAACCAGTATTAGTATCACATCCACTATGGCAGACAACTACTGATGATGTGATGTGAGAACTCAACAGGCTGGATTCACAGATTTTGAATTCTGTCCGAATGAGGCTGTCAGACGCCCAAATCAGAAATAAAGTAAAATCCTCAGCAAAGAATTCCTCTTCTTCATAATAACTCCACTTTATAAGCATTTTGAATGTAAGCATTCATCCTGTGTGCAACACACCCACCACCCCTCCTCTTCAAATATCCAGCCTTGCGTGTCTCTTACTTTGTCTGAGCTCACAGCCTCATTTCTAATCCCTTATTACTCCCAAAGACAATGTTAGCATCTCCCATCTTTTTGTTGTGCAACTCTGTCTAAACCAGACGTTGACTGATCTCACTAGCATGTTGTGACGCTCTCCTTGCACTCTTCCTCCACCTTCATTACCTCTGCTTCTTGCATCTTCACCGTTACACCTGTTGCCTTCCCATTCACACATATATATCCTGTCTTCTGCTCCCGACATACATTCCCCTTCTCTACAGAGCATACCTCCACATTTCCAGGGTTTCCCCACCTGCTCCCTACTCTCACTGCAGATCAGTGTTGTCTAATAACATCATTATCACAAAGAGTCTCCTGCCTGACCTCATCTGTCAGCTTGTCCAGCAACATTTAATCTCACTTGCTGCTTCTTCTTTAATCCTAAAGGTACGCTAACGACTGTGCTGATAGCACCTTGCAGGCTCCTGCACCTTCTTCAGGATGTAGTACACCTGTGGGCACCTTCCTCCTCTCTTATATTTCACTCTGTGAGTTCAGCACAGCCCTTCCAATCCTTGTCAGGAAGTCCACTACATCTATCCTTCCACATTCCTTTTCCTAATGCCAAACCTACTCAACATCTTGTCATCACCTTCGCTCTGTTCACCTTTATACCAACTGAAGTGTGCTCCAATTACAACTCCAATTAGACAGCAGTAACACAGTATCAGCTGGCAACGTGTTAGCCAAACCACTGCAGGTGTTCGTTGCTAACCTGGGCCCGATGGATCCTGTTTGATTTGCCCTTTCTGATGCAAACCTCCCAGTTTCTCCAGGCCTGGGACCAGCATTGACAGTACACTGGTTTGTGGTTCCCCATGGCTGGCTTCTGTTATGCTAGGTCTTTATTATTGTTAATATTTTGTTTCTTGTTAAATTATTGCCTTTGTGTGTATAAATAAGCATGTTCTGTGTGAAATAGCTCTTACTAAAGCCTCTGTGTTCTTACTAGTATTTTAAGTACATATGTCCAACATGTCTTTAGTTCTTAATTCTTTTGATTATGAAAACAAATGTAATTTTACTAAAAATTAAAAAAAATTTTTTTTCATTATTAAGTTACTTTTGTTCTCGGGTCATAGTTAAAAACTACAGTGTGTAAAATGAATGATAAATGTAAACTGAGATGTCGTGAAACATTTAAATACTGCAGTCAGTTCATTGTATGATTAATAGGTAACTGGCTTGAATGGTTCAACTACTGAACTGGACAGTGTGTGAACATTTATTAATTCATCAGCGTTATTTGTTTTCCAACACATGTTGTGTCTTTTCCTGGAGTAACACTTTTAATTTCAGACTTTGCTGAAGGTGCAGAAGACATGCAGTCTCATAAATGCTCGTGTAAATACAAAGAGATGGGAATATAGTAGCTATGCTGTACTACAGCTACTGTACCCCCCTCCACCATAACCTGCAGTGTGTCTAACCTCAAATTATATGTTATTATTCTTTCTCTCTACACCCTTGTTTTTCTTTTTGTGGAAAGAAGAAGAAGACAGGCTGGCCCAGCATCCTCCTCCTACCTACATGAGGAAAAACTCCTACTGTAGTGTTATCTGCCCTCAGCTGGACACTGGCAGTAAATCTAAATTAACTAGCAGCTCTCTGAGGGTCACCCAGGGGCTAGCTCATTTTGATTAATTAAAGACCTGGGAAGGGCAAAGAGGGGTGGGAGGTTTAGGAAAGGACAAGAGAAGAAGGAAGGAGGCAGAGAGGGAGAGATGCACAGAAAGCTACAAGAATAACAGAGCCAGTGTGTGGAAAGAGGGACGTAAGGATGAATGTGAGAGAGGAACTGAGTCCTGTGTTATCAGGAGAGCTCGAAGTAGATGTGGTATGACCTGTGGTTCAAAGTACTGACTGCCACCTCCCACACACACACACACACACACACACACACACACACACACACACACACACACACACACACACACACACACGCGCACGCACATAAACAGAACACAAAGACATATTAAAGTATTTTGTGGTGAACTGCTGCAGCTTGGCGGTGGTGCACTTTTAGAGCTCAAGTCAGTGATGTCACTTCCTGCATCGTCATGATTCTATCAGATAAACAAAACTTGTCTTCTGTCAGATAT